ACCATGGTTTAGCCATGTGGGTGTCCAGTGTCCATAACCACTATGCCAACCTGCTGGCTCCGAACTCAGTCTTTGACAATTGATAAAGTATACATTTTATGTAGAAAAAAAAAAAATGGAGCCAGCAGATGGTGTGGTGGTTAGGGGCACTGGAATCCCACATGGCCGACTGTAGTTCAAGTCCCAAACATGGTGGCTTTCTCTCTGTCTCTCTCTCTCTGTCCTTCCCTGGTCAAATTAAAAAGGAAGAAAGAAAGAAAAGGAAGGAAGGAATGAAGGAAAGAAAGAAAAAAATGATTCTTTAAAAAAAAAAGTTGGACGATTACAAGGTACAGAAACAATACCATGTGTTCAGTTGTTGTAGAAACAAAATGAAGGACTTGGTGTTTAGATTTATTTCAAACACAGTTATGATCCCAGTTGAAGAAACACCAAGGATGTGATTTGGATGCGTCACGGTGGGTTTGGCATCCCTCCTGGCAAAGGCAACAGCTCCGGCGTGCGCTGACCTAACAGCTCTGATAGGTTATGCACCTGTTCTGTGCCAGGAGCTGAACTAGGTGCCAGGGTAAGCCGAGGGACACAGCCCACTGTAGTGCACCCACAGGGAAGTACGGCAGGTGCTCGAGGGCCCCAGACGGGCCAGCAGGCCGAGACCGCAGAGGCGGGACGAGCCGAGGGGGCGCACTGAGCACAGGCTTTGGGGTGGGCTGTAGCCTGTGCCGCCCGGGGCCTCAGGCACGTTGTTCAGCCCTAGTCTCAGTTCCGGATGTGTCACATGGAGTCAGCGGTGCTCTTATTTCATGCCGTCGTCCTAAGCACTAATGAGATACACATGGAAATCCTCTGGACTAGCCCTGGCACGGAACAGTCACTCAGAGATCGGTAAGAAACCCATCCATGTCACCGTGCCAGCGGACAGGAGTGGCTCAGCAGAGAAGGGCCTTCCTAGCCACAGTGGCAGAGGCGTGCACCAAAGCCAGGGGTTCGGTCTGGGCCTTTCCGGACAGCAGAGCTCCAGGTGGGTCCCCTTGAGAGCAGGATACCTGGGAGGAGTGGAGAGGAGGCCGGGAGATCTTCAAGTAGGAGCCTTTGTGCCCTGGCCGGGAGTCTGAGGCATCTAGGAAACGCTGTGGCGTCTTTGAAGACCTCAAGCGGGGGCACCTGGAACAGTTTTGTTTTTATTTTTGTTTTTGCTTTTCATGTAGGTCGATCGCACCCACCGGAGAGAGATAAGACAGGGAAAGAAGGTGAGGGAGATGGCCACATCACAGTCTCTCTTCTTCCAGGCTCCTTTCAAGATTTTGGGCATATGGGGGCCGGCAGGTGGCGTGGTGGTTAAGAGCGCTGGATTCCCACACATTTTGGGCACACATGCACACGTGCCTGGTGTGAGCTTCAGACCCGGTCTAGGACTTGAACTGTGGTCGTCCGTGTGGGAGTCCAGCATCTTAACCACCATGCCCCCTGCTGACCTACATCTGGAGAACTTTTAAAGGTCTGATCCCCTGGGACCAGCAGATGGTGTACTGGTTACGTCACTGGACTCACACATAGTCAGCCATGATTAGAGTCCGGGACCCAGCTTCTTAAAACCGGGTACATGTGCTTGGGTGCCCAGAATCCAGACAGGAGAAGAGAGGAGAAGGGATTGCAGTGTGGCCATTGTCCCTAAGGGGTGATTTCTCGCTTTCTGTCTCTGTCTCTCTCTGGCGAGCACACATGCCATATAGCAATAATCTCTCTTTAAAAAAAAAAACAAGTCTGAGCCTCAGGGTTACCTCAGGCCAATTATATTGGGTTGTCGGAAAAGTCACGGCGTGTTTTTCTGTGCAGGAGCGTGTCATGACCTTTCTGACAGCCCGGCAGAAGCAGCTGTGGGTATCCCGGGCATGGTATTATTTATCGCTTCCCAGGTGGTTCCCTTTCACAGCCAGGGTTATGAACCACTGAGTTAGAGGGTAGCTATTTTCAGACCAGACGTGAGAAAGCTCCAGATGACACGAGGGCCAGGGCCATCGTGGAACCAGAGTAAGTGGAGCACAAGCAGGACTTGGTGACCAGGTGAATGAGGAGGAGGTTAGTAAAAGGTGTTTCTAGATTTGGTCATTGGGCGGATAATACCCATATATTCCAGGCTCAGTCATAAGTCAGGAGTGAAGGGCCGGCCCCAGAGGCTAGAAGTAAGGGAGCTGGATCCCATGTGGCCGACCCTGGTCAGGTCCTGGCCCCATCAGCTTCAGGACCACGCTGGGTGTTTGTGAGCGTGTGCCATCTGACAGGACAAGGGACTAGAGAACACGGGATTGTAGTGTGACCGTGTCCCCGTTGAGGGGTGCTTTCTTCTCTCTCTCTCTCTCTCTCTCTCTCTTACTCAGGTGCCGTGTCCACTGGCAACTTAAAAAAAAAATTTAAAAAAAAGAGTGAGAATATGAAGAAGAAGCAGGTTAGTACACCCGGCCTTGATGAGTGGACAAGAGATAGAAAGAACTGTACTTAAAATGTGAACTCTGGGGCCGGTGGCATGCTGGTTAAGGTGGCAGGAGCCCATGTGGCTGACTGTGATTGGAGTCCTGGGCCCAGTGGCTTGAAAAACGCACTGGGCACGTGTATGCGTGTGCCCAAAATCCTAAGTGGAGAATGGAGAAGAATGGACTATGGCGTGGCCATTTTCCCCGGGGGGTGCTTTATCACTCACTCTTTCTCTCTCTCTCTCTCTCCAGTGAATGCACACATCCTATAGTAAAACTTTTTTTGTTACTGTTTTTAAGAATTATTTAACTTTGTTTATTATTATTCTCAATTTGGCCAGAGAGAAAGAGAGAGGGGGAATGACAAAGCAAGCTACCAGATCCAGGACTTGAACTGTAGTCCGCCATGTGGGAGTCCAGTGCCTTAACCCCCATGCCATCTGCTGGCCCTGTAAAACTTTATTTTCAATGTGGATTTTGAAGGCAAGTGATCCATAGTGGTAAGTGGGCAGAGAGAACCTGAAAGGCAAGAGACAATGGAATAGTTAAACTTGGGAGAGGAGCAGGTAGTTGGCGGGTGAGATCCCTGAGGACCCAGAAAGCACAGAACAGTGAGGGACATGTGATTTATTGAACAAAGGGGCATTCCATTCAGAGAGAGGAAAACAGGGGCGAGGGTGCAGACGAAGTCACGGATTGAGGACGATGAGCTACCGTTTTGCCTGGGGGCCCGATCTCCTTCCCGTGACAGAGACGTGTGATCTGCGGAGAGTTCAGTCAGAGAAGGGCAGTTGGCAGTGCGGTTGAGCTCTGGGAGGCCACGGACAGTGGCGGCCATCCGAGGAAGGCATTGTCTCTCTAACCCTATTCATCTGTGGTGGTTTTCCCTAGGGTTTCAGTACTGGGTGATCGTTATTGTCGTTGGTCACACTGTTTATCTTCTAACTGTTAATAAACTGAAATTTGAAATAATTATTATTCATTTGCTGGAACAAATAATTCAAGTCTCAGCTGTGTGTGTGTGTTTGTTTGTTTGTTTTTTTTAAGATTTATTTATTTATTTAATTCCATTTATTATTATTACTTTTTAATTTGACCAGAGAGAGACACAGAATGAGAGAAAGGGAAAGCGAAAGCGAAAAAGCAAGCCGCCAGGTCCGGGACTCAAATTGCGGTCGGCCGTGTGGGAATCCAGTGCCTTTAACCACCATGCCACCTGCTGGCCCCAACTGTGTGTGTCTGTGTGTGTTTTTTTAATAGAATTATTTTATTTAACTTTATTTATTTACTTACTTTAATTTGACCAGAGAGGGACAGAGCGAGAGAGGGAGAGTGAAAGCAAACTGCCAGGTCTGAGACTAGAACCGCAGTCGGCCATGTGGGAGTCCAGCACCCTTAACCACCACACCACCTACTGGCACTGTGTGCGGTTTTGTTTGTTTGTTTAAATTGTTACAATAATACATAAACTCATGACCATAGACTGTTTGAATGTTGACTATTTATCGCTTTCTGTTAAAATCAAAAGTTGGGTCCAGATGTAGCATGATGATTAAGGCTCTGGGCTCCCACATAGTTGACTCCAGTTCGAGTCCCAGACCTGATAGCTTGAAAATCATGCTGGGCATATGTGTATGCATGCCCAAAATCCTGAGAGGAGAATGGAGGAGAAGGGACTGTGAAGTGGCCATACCCCTGGGAGGTGATTTCTCTCCTCTGTCTCTATGTCTCTCTCCAGCAAGTGCATTCACCCTATGACAAAAACCTTTAAAAAAAAACGGGGGGCGGGGGGAGAAACACTTGTCTAGAGGCATTAAGTAGCTGATATTATGGTTCAGAAAATTATTGGTTGGCTTTTTATTTGGGGAGGGGTTTTTCTGAGTAGCATTTTGCTACAGTAATTTGAAATTTCAAGAGTTGGAATCACTTGTAAACACACATACTGCGTAGATCCCACAGCGTAAGTGACTGTCAGGCCATTGGAAGCATCATGACACATTTTTGCATAGAAAAATATGTCATGACTTTCCCAGTGACCCAGTAGTTTAGCATCATGCTTTTTTCTCTAAAACTCAAAAACTGCCAATTCAACATTTTGAAACTATATTAACTTTTAGTATAAATACTGCATATTATAAAGAAATTTTATTTTTAGACATCTATTCATGCTGGGAACTCGACAATTATTGCTCACCTCTCATGTAAAATATGATTTGCATTATGTGTTCATTAGTATTTTTTCTCTAAAAGACTAAGTAGAAGCCTAGTAGTTAATTGTCAAATGGTCTGGTACTAATTTATAGATGTTCTATGAAATATAAATAAGAATAGTTATAGCAGAACTAATTGTATTCACTACAACAAAGCGATTGTTAATAGGACTTTTCAGTTAGACATCTTGCTTATAGCATGCTTCTTAAGACAATTATAAATTACTTGAGTAAAATGCATTAGACCAGGATGTGTATGGGGGTAGAAAGTGGCCTTCATATTGCAGAATGCTAACTTAATGTTTTGGTGTCATTTCAGGTAACATTTCATTTGTTGCATTTCCAGTTTCCAGCACCAACTCACCCACAAAGATTTTACCAAAAACCTTAGGACCAATAAATGTGAATGTTGGACCCCAAATGGTAAGACAGTCATCAAATCTTAAAATGAAAATTTTGCCAGAGCAAGACTAATTTAAAGGATGATTATATTAACAATGCGTGGTTACATCATGTAGTTAATTTCAGTTATCGCAGTCTTTTATTTAAAAAAAAAGTTTTGTTCTTATCTGAATGTAACTGATTAAGTCTTTAGAAAAAGGATGGCTGTTGTTCTATACAGTTTTCAGTTTAATAGAACATAATATTAAGGTTTTCTGTATATGAGACTTTTCTTGTTTTTAGTTGTTCAAATTTATTTGAAATCCATTGTTTCATGTCCTTCTTCTTTATTCTTTTTCTTATAAGGTAACCTTTACTGCCCTTACCCATGTGTTCTCATAAAAATTAAATGTGACTCAATAGTTAATCTATACCTGGAACTATTGATTTCAAACTCTTTTTAAGGTAGAGATAATTGGGGAAAATAACTCACCAGTACATTTTAATCTTTAGTAGTAGAAATAATGGATGAAAAATGGAAATTTATTTAATTGTTTCTCTAAAGGCATTCATTAATTATGCTAAAGCTTGAAGCACTTTCAGAAAGTCTTGTTTATTTATTTATTTTTAGAGAGAGATTTTTCCTATAGAGCACGTGCACTCACTGAAGAGATACGAGAGAGACAGAAAGTGAGAAATCATCCCCTGGGGGGCAGCCAGGCTGCAGTTCCCTCCTCTCCATTCTCCTCTTGGGATTTTGGGCACACACGCACACATGCCCGGCATGAGTTTAAGCTGCCGGGTCTGGGACTTGAACTGCAGCAGACTACGTGGGAGTCATACAACATAACTGTTAAGCCATCTGCTGGTCCTGAAAGTCTGTTTATGAACAAGTTTGCATTCAATTACTATGTAAGTATACTTAATTTGAATGGTCTCACCCACTATTAGGAAATAGATCTAAACATTTAAATAATAACTATTCATTGTCAGTATGTAGATGAGACAGTTTTTCATCTACACAACAAAGATAAGTTTTGTTTATAGCACTGTCGACTTTGTTAAATGCCCAGTTATTTAGACAAAAATATCTTTTAACATACCTAATAGTTTCAGAAAGTCTTGCTACATATTCTCTGTATGACATTTTCAGTAGTCATTTGAAGACTGGTAATTATCTGCAGAATACAAGCTAAAGATAAACACCGTTTATTCCTAAGTATATAAAGAATGTATTGGGGGGAACCAGCAGTTAGCGTAATGGCTATGTCGCTGGACTCCCACGTAGTCGACCACGGTTTGAGTCCTGGAACCAGTGGCTTAAAACTCATGCAGGCGCATGAGCATGTGTGCCCAAGATCCCGAGAGGATAATGGAGGAGAAGGGATTGCAGCGTGGCCATCCCCCATGAGGGGTGATTTCTCGCTTTCCGTCTCTCTGTCTCTGTCTGTCTGGCGAGTACACGTGCCCTATAGTAAAAACCTCTCCCAAAAAAAAGAACGTATTCTGGTTCCAAACGTCACAGCAGCTTGAGCTCCGTCGGTCTTTTTAAGGTAGCTCAGGGTATACATGTTCAGCATTTGCGCCTCCCCAGGCACTATTGTTGGTGCTACTGAGTTTCGGCAGCAGATTCTAAAGTCTGAATTTTGAAATGAGGTTATCTGAGCACCAAGATCCAACACAAGCAAACCTTTGTGAGTGTGGACCCTACAGTGTTCCTCTACCTTGTGAGACTTCTCTGTTGGCATTGCAGTTCATGATGCGGTGAGTCTAATTTGAATTCCTCTTTGGAAATGCGTATGGATTTTCCTTCCTAGTGTCAGCTTGTACTAGTGTCCCTCTAAGGCCTTACGCAGTTGAATCCTGACAGTGATAAGTAGTCGTGTGTGCTACTATAACCCGGTACTGTCAGCCAAGCAGAAATCAGGACTGGAGAGTTGGGGCTCTCAAACTGGGCAAACCCAAGGTCTTAATTTGTCTCCTATTTCTTTTTTTTTTGGAGAGGTTTTTGCTATAGGGCGCGTGCGCTCGCCAGACAGAGAGAGACAGAGAGATAGAAAGCAGGAAATCACCCCCCAGGGGGGATGGCCACGCCACAATCCCTTCTCCTCCATTCTCCTCTCGGGATCTTGGGCACGCACGCACACGCGCCCGGCGTGAGTTTAAGCCACCGGGTCCGGGACTC